AAAAAAAAAAAAAAAAAAAAAAAGCTACAGGCTCTCAGGAATATAATCCTGACGGGAAATTGTTCTTAGTTACCAGTATGCGTCGAACACTAAATACAAAATAAGGTGACATTCCACTTAGAGAAGAGACAGAAAGGGATTGAGAAATGTGTTTTCATAGATTCATGGGATTTTAGCACTTGGAAGGGGCTTTGAAAGCTTTTGCTTTTACAAGAGATAAAAAGACTTTTTTATGTTGGATGGAAATGTCTCCTAAAATTGGTAAAACTTGATCCTGAAAATAAACCAAAGTAAATCTAAAAGGCACAAGTCATGCATGTGTGCTAAAATCGTCATTCTTACCCTGTTTCTGAACAAGGGGTGGTGGGAAAATAATGGGCAGCATCACGCTGTAGAAAAAGCACAGGCGGTGAAGGCAGACAGTCCTGAGACCAGTCCAAATTCTCCTACTGACTGGCTCTGTGGTCTGTGTAAGACACCTATGCTCACCAGACTGTTTCCTTAACAGAGTTAATGAGATAACATATATATTATGACCTGCCAGGCATCCAACAACCAACAGGTGGCAATTAAGGTGCCTAGTTATAGGTAAAGGAAGGTGTCAGGAGGTGGCAATGCTGTGTGTGCACGTACAGAACAGCTTCATCACACCAAAGCTATGGAATGAGGGAGGAGCTTACGAATTCCTTTTTTTCAGTAACCTTACTTTTCTTTCTAGCTCTCTCTTCATCACGCTAACTTTGAAGAGTCTGGTCCTAACCCCCCCCTTTGCCTGTGCTGTATCTTCCCACATGGCTACCTTCTGCAGTGTCCCCAGGAGATGGGCTTCTTGGGGCTGGCAGGGAGGGGAACATGGTGATGGACCACTACAGACATTATTTTAAGAACAGATGCTACCAGGTCAACTGACTCAGACTCAAGTTCATAGTCTCCCACCTGGCCTTTACTGTGAACAGCATTCACAGTCATTCTGCCTCTTTCAGTTCGATGGTTCAGAATGGTTGTAGGTATTAATAGATGGACAGACTTAGGCCCTAGGGTTGCTGGCAACATGCCACAGAACTCAACTGGTACAGAGGTAACGAATGAGACCTTCATAAGAAAACAGATCTCAGGATATAAGAAGCAGACAGAAATTTTTTTTTCAACATGCAAACCTCATCCTCATTGTAAATTTCATATTCGCCCAGATATTTTATTTTTTTACTAGTGCAAAGCATATCTGAGCTACAGTCCACTTGCTAAGAGTAATGAGCAGTGTACATTCAGTAATGCAGTTTCTTCAACTCATTATATAATGTTCCTTTACTAAGAGTCAGCTATCAATTAAGTGAGACTCTATCCAATGTGATACTGAAATTCTGAGCTGGATGAATCATTAGTAGAGAAATTTGTGAATTATGATTAGGGTATTTAAAATTTATTAAATCTAATTTTATGTAGCATCAGTTTTTTAAAAAAAAGCCTAGAATGGTCATTCAAATTATTGTTCCTTCTTTTTTGGGGGCGGGGCAGGTTCTCAGAGGGAACATGGAAGATCAACAATAAAACAGAGTAACTGGAAATGACGTTCTTCTTTGTTAGCTTCTAATGTGAAGAAATAATTATCTGTCAGGGCTAAGCTGTTCCACTGGTAAAATGGGAAGAATATAGATTTTTTAATTCTTCAATCTTTAGATCACAAAGCACTACTGTAATGGTCAATTATTGTAAATAAAAAATAATGGTGTCTGTCACTGAACCTGAGAGAGAAAACAATACTCACCGATTTAGAATTTCTAGGTTCCAGCACCAGTGATAGTTTGTAAATATCATCTTCTGTGTGATAGAGGTCCAGAGAAAGCTACAACAAATTAGAAGGGATAAATAAGGATGTTGAATCATTTATTTACTTATTTACATTACTGAAATTTTTCCAAACTGAATGCTTAAGCTCAATGTCTAATAACTTGAGTGAATGTAGAACATTAAAAAGATAGCATGCAGAGGTGGAAAATGAAATTTTTTTTAAAGAAGTTTTAATATTTTATTTTTTGGCCACGCAGGATGTGGGATCTTAGATCCCCAACCAAGGAGCAAACCCACGACCCCTGCATTGGAAGCGTGGAGTCTTAACTACCGGGCCGCCAGGGAAGTCCCGGAAAACGAAATTTTAAAAAGAAAAAAGTTAAACCTAGTGTGGTCATCAGCATCAATAAGAACCATTGACTCAATTTTTCTCGATAATTATTGAGTAGCTCCTAAGCACCAAGCACTGAGCTGGAGATAAGGGATCCTTGATGTTACAGGCTAGGACCGGGGACAGGTGTATAAAATAAGACTTGGAAATGGAATAAATGGTGTCTTGGAGGTTTGACTAAAGAACTGCAGAAATAAAGGAGCAATTAATAGGTTTCTATTATTTCAGGGCATTGTGCTAAGTTCTGGTGATATAAAATGGTATAAAATCATTCCTGCCCTCAAGGGCCAGACACTTTATTTGACTAAATAGGACCTGAACACAAAAAGGTATATTCACATCAACAAAAGGCAACACATGCTAAATGTGAAGGAAGTTGCCCCGCTCTAAGTGCTATAGGAATTTTTCAGGGAGGCAGCGTGTAAAGCATGAGGGAGAGGTTTTGGAGACTGGTGGGTTTGAGTTCAAATTCTGAGCCTGCCACTGGTTAGCTCTGTGGCCTTGAGCCAGTTATTTCCTCTCTGACACTCAGTTTCTACTTCTGTAAAATGGAAATGATCACAGAAGTCCCTATTTAATTGGGTTTTTATCAGGATCAAATGAAATAATGCATGTAAAGTACTTCACACAGGACCTAGTACACAGTGAAATCTCAGGAAATGTAATCTGGTGTTGTTGATGTTATTGTTATTATTACAGCTGTTACAACTACTTTTATTATTATGTGTGGGGGCCACTGAGGACAGAAATGATCAGGATGGATTCACAGAGGAACTTGTGAACTGGGACCTAACTGGGAGGACTTGGAGAAATAAAGACAGAGAAAGATTAGGGTAGGCAAGGATAAGAATGTAAATGAAGATTGAACTGTGTGGATAAAATCTGCAAAACCTTACAATGCATGGTCCCATTTACCTAAAACAGAAGTCATAAGATTTAAAATAAGCCTGGATAATTCCCACACGTGCCCTTCAATGTTAAGTACCTGATGAATCATACCATTTTATCAACAGGGAAGAGAACCAGGTGTCCCGTCCTTTCTCTGACAATTTTAAGCATGAAAATTTTCCTTTGATATATTTTGTCTAAAGATAAAGGCTTAATGTGAAAGGCTTTATGCCATTTCCAAGTCTTATTTTATACACCTGTCCCTGGTCCTAGCCTGTAACATCAAGGATCCCTTATCTCCAGCTCAGGGCCTGGTGCTTAGGAGCAAGAGAAAACTCAGAGGCACAGGATGTCTTTCAAGGATTTGTCTTGCTGTTCTATCTCATTTTTTTAAAAAAGAAACTGGCATTATAAACTGTCATTTTTGCATCATTCATTCAACAAACATTTATTGGTCACCTAATATATGGCGGGGACCATTGTAGTCACTATTCTAGCTACTAAATACAGCAGTTAAATTAAGGATTTCATATATCTGGTCATGTATTGCATTATCTAGACTTTGTCATCTAAAGGTTTTTTTAAGCATAATAAAATTGACTTTACTATAAAATTGCCCCAGTATCATTTCAGATCATGAAAATCATGCTCTCAAAGAATGCACACTGTATCCACCTTCCTCTGAACAGCAGTCACTTCTACCTCCAGGGGCCCTGCCTTTTTTCAGGAGAGGAACTGTCCCCATGTCACAAACAAATGCTTTGAGGAACCAGCCCACCATATAAAAGAGTGAAGGGAGATGCATGAAAGGGATATTGTGATAGAGACATTGGTATAACAATGTATTTGGTAAAAGACTTTTGCAGATATGATTAACTTGGGGATCTCTCCTCTTAGCTCAACAATAAGAAAAATTTGTGCTGAGTGGAATTTGACACTGGATTTCTGGGTTAGGGAAGCAATAGGGGAAGGTGTGATCACTGATGAATGGGAGATAGCCACTACTCATCTAAGGCAAATTGTTGTCAGTTTGATGACAATTGCCACATCTAATTTGTCAAGAGAAGTCAGAAATCTAGTGTTTTATATAAAATATCCTCATTTTTAAGCACTGGCAACTAATAATTTTTTTTATGATTCCATGTGGGCCAGATAAAACACATCTGCCTTGGGCAGTTGCCCACTGTTTTGTAAATTCCACAACAGAAGACTCTACTGGTCTCTAAGCTTCATGAAAGGAGACAGTACATTTGTAATTCCACCTCTATAATCCCAGTCCTAGTTTGCTACCTTGCACTGTGAATGCGACATAGACAGAAAACTGACTGACTTCTTCCTTTTGACTTCCTTGTTGTCAGGAGTTAATCCGGGCTTTGATGAGTATGTTCCTGTCCTCCTGACTCTTCCTCTGATGACAGCACTGGCATCTGCTGGAAGGGAGATGCCAGCAGTGCAAGAACATCCAACCAGAAACCCAAATAAGCCACACACTAAATAGGCGAGACGCTCTTTCAAAAGGCACAGAACATCCCTGAGTATTTTCATATGTCAGATGGACAGATATCTGACTCTATGATGGAAATATTTTTGTTTTCTCCCAATGTTTGCTCTCCATTTATTAGTGGTCGTATGAACCTAGGCAAGTCATTAACCTTCTTGAGTCTGTCTCTTGATCTGTAAAATGGGAATCATCAATAATAGCTCCCTCCCAGGATTATTGTGAGGATTAAATGAGCTAATGGTGTCCAGTGGGATTTGTTTAGAGGGCCACACAGATGGGAACTGCAGGGTTTGGCTCCCAGTCAGTGCAGCAGCCAAATGCCACTGTGCTCATCCACGAGTGCAGAGCCGCCTTCTGGGTTAACTCTAGCCATCTCTCTGCTTTCCAAGCCGCGATCCTACTTGCTTTCTCGGATCTCCTCTGGGCCTTACGGCCCTGCACAAAGTGATCTGTTCTACTTCCTACGCACCTTTTAAATAATATAGGCAGCTTGTCAATGGGGTTTCAAAAATATTTATTTGTGTCTAACATATTTTAAGCTTGTTTGTTTCTAAAAAATGTTCTGAGTCACTGTTTCAGGTTGCTGCTTTTACATCCAAGCCTATCAGCAAAGATGGCTGTGGATTTAGTCTGCACCTTAGGACCGACATTGTCTTGACTGGAGAATTGTAAAATAACACACACTTTGTCATCAAACTATCTCCATTCACCATTTTTGCAATTCTTCCTCTTCCTCCTCCTCTTCGTCTTTCTTCTTTCTTCTTCTTCTTCTTTGATTGTAAAAATACAGGGGCTTTCCAGTAATTTGCATATACTCAGAATGGTAAATGTAACTGATAGATCTAAAAATACTATGAAAAAAAATCAGACTATTTCGTATACCATGAAACAAGAAGCATCAGTTTAAAAGCTCCTGGTTACATGAATTGGGATCACAGTGGAAAATGTCTTCTCCAGATCTTCCCTAAAAAGGGGAACAATACAAATCCTAACAGTTTGGTGGTGTGGTCCTCTTTCCTTCATGTGCCCAGTACTGTTCAGGGGGCTCAGATTACAATGATAAAAATGACAAACATAGTCCCTGCTCGCATAGATTTCATTTTGTAATTAACTCTTTCTTTACACACCCATGAAGAGGGAGAGAGATTATTTAATTTTCACAGATGCAAAATAAAGTAAATGTCAGCAATATTCCCACATTACAGAGTAAATGTCCATCAGAGAGAGAGAGAGAGAGAGAGAGAGAGAGAGCCACAAACTGGGATTCAGAAGTTGGCTATTTGCAAGCCTTTGGTCTGTTAGGAATCGCAGCTTCTTCATTTCTAAAATAGGAAGGGGCAGGGGTGATGTTACACCCTCTGACCTGCCCGGGCTACATCACAGGGTGTGTGTGAGAATCTACTGAGGAAATGTATGTGAAAAGTGCTGTGAAAACTGTAATCAACTATTACAGAAAGTTCAGGCATTGCTATACAGCCTACTGCACAGAGCAGGCATTTAGTAATTGTTCATTAACTTAAGAGTTCTCATTTTCTTTCTTCCAGGGCTCTCAATCATACCAGCTTCCTCACCTGGGACCATGTTTAGAAGCAGTCACTTCAGGCAGAAACTTGACCTAGAGTCTTGGAGCAAAAAGAATCACCCCTTCAATGCTGTGCTTAATAAGAATGACCTCACATGCATTTGGGCAGCTGCAGTCAACGTATGGTTCTAATCTCAACATGTATGTGGTTCATGAAATGCTCACTGGGCTCCAATGAACACCTCCTGGGAGTCTCCTCCATCCTCATTCTGAGGAGATTAATCTGCCTAGGGCCAGGAAGAATGAATGCACCGAACTTTCTCCTTGGTTGTGGGGAGAGAGGAAGGCTTTTGGCTTTAAATAGGAACTGGCTTGACAATCGTGCTCATCTGCGGAACTGCTATCCTGATGAGCCACTGGGCTGGAACCACAGAATTAGGTTGACACTTGGTTCCTTAGTCCCAAGGCTCCACCATTCCTTACATCTAGCACCACAGAAGTTTAGAGCTGGATGAGATCTTACAAATGAGCACAAAACCCTTTAGGAAAAATCCAAAGTCAAGAATAGTTAGCAAGGGGCTTCCCTGGTGGCGCAGTGGTTGAGAATCTGCCTGCCAATGCAGGGGACACGGGTTCGAGCCCTGGTCTGGGAAGATCCCACATGCCGCGGAGCAACTGGGCCCGTGAGCCACAACTACTGAGCCTGCGCGTCTGGAGCCTGTGCTCTGCAACAAGAGAGGCCGCGACAGTGAGAGTCCCGTGCACCGCGATGAAGAGTGGCCCCCACTTGCCACAACTAGAGAAAGCCCTCGCACAGAAACGAAGACCCAACACAGCCAAAAATAAATTAAAAAAAAAAAAAAAAAAACCCCAGAGGACAAGTTCCAATTAAAAAAAAAAAAAAAAAAACCACACAAAGGAAAAGTTCCATTTAAAAAAAAAAAAAAAAAAGAATAGTTAGCAAGGAGACAAAGCTAAGTAACTGCAGAGGCAGGACAAAAAGCTATGTCTCCCATCTGAGATTCTTGCCACTATATTACACTATACTATACAAAGCTGCTGTGACTAAATATGGTGCTTGGTGGCTTCTAAATTTTCCTTCAATTCCTGAGAGAGAGAGAGAGAGAGAGAGAGAGAGAGAGAGAGATACACAGAGAGACTGAGAGATTGAGTCTTTTTCTTTTTTCTTTTGTTTCCAGCAAAAATGAATTACTTCTTAGCTTTTACTTCTGGAGTTCAGATTTTCCATCTGCAGCCCCAAAATTTCATTCCAAATCCTTTAGTATTTCTCAAATATCTGTCCTGATGTTGCCTGCTGCATTTACAATTCAAATTTCTTTTCCCTACTCCATCATTATTTTTTATCCAGATGAGGAATTGCCCAGCATAGGCAGCTGCTCATGAAGTTCTCCCCCAGCTCGTGGAGGCAGCCTGAGCACAGACACTTGGAGCCTAGGCTACCCCCTGAGACTGGTCTTCAGACATCACCTGTGGCTGTGGGGTTACAGTCTGATTGGGGCGGCAACTCTGGTCACTTATTCATGGAAACAGATTTACATGGCAAATGGTTAATAAAGGCAGCTGCCTGGATTATTATGAGGTTCCCCCACCCTAATAGAGAATGTCTGGGTGTTTACTATTTGTTACACAAACTCAACCCCAAGAGATTTGTGCTTCTGTGTGTTGGCTACTTCTGCTTTATACTAAGAACGCAGCTGCCATTATTGCCTACACCTAGGGGTTCTCTTCTTTGGTAAACAATTCTGTGTTCTAGGAACAGTTTGTGAGAAGGTCTAGGAACTGCACTCTTATCCCAATGCAGCAGTCCGAGAGGATTTAGCTCTTTGGAGTTCCAGAGGGGTTCTTGTTTTCATTCCCCATGGCCACTGGAGGAAAGTAGTCAATTCGGTGTTGCAGCCAAGTTTCAGATGCTACAGTGTCATAAACCCAAACAAGGAAGTTGCTCCTCCACTTGTCTAAGCAAGGGTGAGAAAATTTGCTTATGCCTCTTTCCCCCTGACAAAGAAGCAGCCAATGGGAAATGTTCTCTACTACACACCTGTGTGTCTAAAAGTGCTAGGACCTAGAGACCAGCTAATGGTGTGTGCCACCAAGGCCAGAACGTATGAGCAGTAGGTGAATTTCTTCCAACCCACTCCTAAATACAGCACCCAGTTCATCTGCTGAGCTCCTAAATATGCCAGGTATTGGGTGGGCCAAAAAGTTCTTTCAGGTTTTTCCGTTAAGATGTTATGCAATACTATGAGAGGTGCTGGGGACGGGCGATGTATAAGGCAGGTAAATAGAAAAAGAATCTAATGTCAAGTGATACCTCCTATAGATAAGAAAGTACAAAGTACAAGGGCAACACATGTGACAGATGCCTTACTGCTTTGGAAGGAAACAGAGAATGCTCCAGAAAGATAGAGGCTTTTGAATTTAAGCTAGTCATGGTGGGGTTGGGGGGGTGGGTAAGGAAGGAATTTTCCAAGAAAATGCAAAGCTAGAAAGTAGAAGGCAGCAATTTGTGGTGGAAAGTGTAAGTCCCACATTCCTCAAAGGCAGGTGTGATGCGGGATCAGGTGATGACAAACGAGGAGAAACTGATAGTCAGAAAACAAGTCGTGAAGGGCTCCAGTGGCAGACTGGGACCTGCGTCTGGTGGTTTGGGGAGGTTGGTGGTGGTTATGGGGAGGGAGATCCCAGAGGAGGTACCCGCATTACTCCAGGCTTCAACTACAGCAGTGCAGTGAGGATCAAGAGAAGCCGATGAGTTGAGGGCATATAGAAGGAGGTGACGAATTAGATGAGTGTAATGAGGTGCTTAGGACAGGGCTGGAGGGCCTCTCTAAGAACTGCAGAAGCCAGAGCCGTGGAAGCTGAGACTGGGACCCTCAAAGCAGAGGGAACTTTCTTTGCTCGGAGATTGGTGTCTCAAGTCACTTGGGTTACAGGTGTGAGTTTCCCTCCCTTCATCCTTTGAGATTTCTTCGCATCTACTGACCCTGAATTCAACCCCTCCCCCACCCCCATTGTGAATTGCTGGCGTGGATCTTCCTGCATACGCTGGGAAGTGAGGTGCAGGAGAGTTATTAGCACAAACTCCAGTCCGTTGGACTCACCGTGAGCAAGTTGATCAAATCCAGGTTGGGTTCCAAGTGGTGAGAGGCACTCTGTAGGGAGACCAGTTCACTCAAGGTAACGGAGAGCTGGTGCATTTTCACAATGTTCACTTTGTTCTCCTCCATCCAGTCTGGGAAAATGACATGGACCGCTATCAAGTCTTTCAAGTGGACGCCAAGGATTGGGATTTTGAAGCCATCACAGTCGGCAAAGGCCTTGCGGTAATTACAGTAATTGCCGTTGGAGGAGACCAGCTCCGTCATTTCATTCCAGTTCTGGGAACAGATGGAAAAGTAGTATTTTCAAACAGCCTTCCCTTCTGCCCACCCTCAGGCCCAACAGTGTGTGGCTAGGAAATTCCTCGCCTACTGAAAGAAGTATCAGTTGCACCAACGTTGATGCAGGGAAATATTAACCAGGGAAAAGAAAGTTAGAAAAATGTACTAGGCTTGGCTGTGAGTTGGACAGCCTGTTCCATTCTGCATCAAAAAAGAAATAGCCCACACCTCTGCCTACCTACTAGGGGTGTTGAGATGTTAAATAGCATCATGTATATGTAAGCATTTTGTAATTCATGGAAATATTACAATCCACAAATACAAGCATGTATTGTATTGAAGTATGTAGTATATTAAAATTTCCTAGTTGTTCCAAGAAAGTTGCATTCAAGATATAACTTGAAGGGGCCAGTATGGGGTAGGAACAGTCATACTGATGTGTGAGATAGCTGTGGTTTTGGACTCTGCCACTAACTAGGAGGGTGACCTTAAGCAAGTCACTTCACTTTTGGGGACCTCAGTTTTCTTTTCTGTAAGAAAGAGGAGTTCAAATAAATAATTTTTGAAGACATACTGGTGGTTGCAAGCTTCTATGAGCCTCCACTGAATTCTTATTCTTTACAACATTTAAAATATGTTTTGCTCTTTACTGGAAATTCATTACTAATCTAAAGGAAAATGAAACACATAATGAGCCCCGTTATACTTGGAAAGGGTGCAGTGTTTGAGGTCACTCAGCAATGCTTCTGTGGTTTATATTCTCCTGTTTATATGCACAAGCTATTGTTGGTTGCCTAATGGCAGCCATACCTTCCTAATAGATCCATGTGTCTACTTTTGATCAGTCTACTCTTTGATGACGCTGCTTCCATGCCCAGATCCAAGGATGGGTTCTGATCTACCATCTTCATAATTCCATCCCTCTGGTTTGTGATTGGTTCAGGAACACAGAGTTAAGCCAATCAGTACATTGTATTCCTCTGGATACTGTTATTGGCCCAGGGGTGGGCATGTGATTTGAGATGGTCCAATCTGTCTAAAAAAGAAGGTCTTTTATTCCATGGGTGTAGAGCTGAAGAGAGGTTTTCCCTATCTCCAACTTTCATAAACAAGAAAGCATAATTTTCCCGTTGCTGCAGACAGCCCAATCAGGAGGGAAACCAATCCGATGAAAAACAAAAACTAAAACAAAAACCTCATACTCAGAGGAATACAGAGCAACTGAGCCAGAGCTCTGATAAGACCATGCCTGGACATGGCCCTGCCTCTGGACTTTTAGGTATGTGAGACGATCTATTTCCTTATTGTTTAAGCAATTCCAAGATTTTTTTTTTTTTTAACTAACAGCTGAAAGTGTCCCTACTGATATAACAAAGTACACGCTTCCAAGGAAATCTTTTCATAAGGATGAAATGTTCTTTTTTGCTCAATAAGGAAAAATATTATTGTGGTCTGGAAATAAATATGGCAGAAAAAGTTCAGTTTGGGAAACAATCATTGCTTAAAATTTTTTTTTTTAATCCCTGAAAACTGAGCTATAAATCTGAGGGCTTTCTATACAAAAGATTTCTTTCTGTCTCCCCTTCCTTTGTGTCTTCCACTGTGTTAAACACAGTACTATGAAGAGAGCAGGTGTTCAATGACTTCATTTGAGGACGGTAGGAATGATTTCTGTCATATTTGCCTTGTAACCCCCATGTATTTCACATTGCCTATCACATAGTAAGCACCAAACACATATTTTTTGAATATTTACAACTGCAATATGTTAATGGTGTTCAACGCATTCCTATTAGGACACTTGCTGCCACCTCTAATCTGTTTTTCCAGGTGGTATGGCTGTAACCTCCTATTGTCTAAGAAGAAAACTTTCCCTTTCTGAGTGACATTTGTTAGGATCATCCTACCCCCAAACAATTTACAAACGAACTTTTTACTTGGGTTATCATCTGATCCACTGTACCTTTGTAACTTCTGAAGAAAGATGAGAATGGGTCTCTTTGAGCCGGGAAATGGAGCTATGACTAAGGCCTCCTACCACTGCCATCAGGGTGTTAAAATTTTTGAGCTGAAGGAGCTTCTGCAATAGAAAAGTTTAACTTCAATACTTTGTAACAATTTTTGAATTATTCTGACCTTTCTGAGGTACAGATGAAGTTGTACAATTTAACAACAAGGATGTAGGGAA